TGCATCCCCACACTGCTGGCCCATGTTCATCTTGGCATCAATGATGACTCCAAGATCCTTTTCTGCCTCCGCACTGACGAGAAGGGAGTTCCCCAGCCTATAGGTATGGTGCTGGTTCTTCCTCCCCAGGTGCAGCACCTTGCACTTGTCAGTGTTGAATATTTAATATTCATCTATCACTTAAGCAGCTGCATTCCTACATTTCTGAGGTAAAGAATATGTTTTGTGCAAGTCCATTTCCCATGATGAATTGACAATGGTTTTACCATATTTGATAAAATTATATCTATATATATATATATATAGAGAGAGAGAGAGGGATGATGCAATGTTTTTGCTTCTGTTATTGTTTTACTTTAAATTGGGCAGTTTTTATAGTTAATGAACATTTTTTCTTAAAGCAGTGATTGTCTAATTCCAGGGTGCTCAACCCCCATCCCATAGACCAGATCTGGCCCAAAGCACCATGTCATCTGGCCCACAGGATTCCCCACAGATGAGGGAAGTTTGGTGGCAAGGGAACTGTGAAACCACTCCCCCGCTGCCAAACTTCCAGACCCATGGGGAGCCCCCAACCCTGCATGCTGCATTTGTCAGGGGAAGTGCTGGACCCTAAGGCCCAAACCTGATGTAGAAGGCTGCAAGGGAGCTATGTCCGGACCTTGGAGCCTAATCCTGGCATGCAGGTATGGAACAGGGTAATGCTAGGGCCCAGTTCTGGTATGCAGGGCGGGAAGGCATACCAGGACCCAATTCCAGCAGGAGGGGCAGGGAGGGGCCAATGCCAGGGCCCATCCTGGCATGTGGGGTCCAGGTTCCAAGAGAGGCTCCTGGCCTCTCTTCCAGTCCACAGGCCTGAAATGTTGGGTACCACTGGTCTAACTGGATGCATAAAAGGTGAAATTTTATTACCCTTTGTTAACTAGTAGGGGATTTTGCTCCTTTTTCTGCATTGTGGACATTCAACATACATGCATAGGAAGAGCATGCTTAGTTAGCTGTACACTGGCCTGGGGCATACACTGGAGTGGAGAACCTTCCCATATTTGACCACTAATAATTGAGGGATTATGTCACTTGACCAGGAGGTAGGAGATCTGGGTTCTAAGCCCCTCCACCCTTGGCCAGGACTCATAAATTTCATGTTAGATGGTCATTGGTTAAAAAGCAGAAATAAGCTTTGCAGCAAAAACCAAAACTTAGCACTCCCACTCTAGAGGTAATGACCTAACCACTAGGTTACAAAATTGTGTTGTCTCTTCCTTGCTTTTCTTCTGGCTCCATGACACTTGAATTGTTTGCTACATAGTGGTTCAGCTCCAACAGAAGGGGCAGAGGGAATTTTAATTTAGCTTGATCTATGACTTTGTAGCAAGGGCACTCTTTGGGAATGAACAATTTTATAAGGGGCTATCACCATTACTGTTTCTATTACCAGTGCAACGGTTCTTCGTAATGTGGGCGTAAGACATGCTTAGCTGGTCAGGTCCTTCTGAGAACTTGCATGCTTCCCCACACCAACCTGAACCAAAGCAGGGCTTAGGCAGGACCTGTATGCCTTGGTTATGAAACTGGATCACTTCTGGGGAGGCTCAGTGCTCAGGTATAAGAATTAGGAAATTGTGCAGCCCAAATGATATTACTTGAACTTGAGCATTTACAGAGTGTTTTGGCTTGGATAGCTGAGCCAAATGGATTGTTCTTTAGACACACAAATTCAGTTTACACTGTATCTAGCCTGCTGGGTTTATGCAGGATATGAACTAATGTGTGTAATATACCTCCATAATAAATATATCCAAATAATATAATCAAAAATAGTTCAAAAGCCCTCTCTACATGTGCAGGTAATGGCGTGATGGGATCTAATGCACAATCCACACAATTGTGCCTCCTGCCATGTCACACATGCATGGCAGAAAACATGATTGCAAGATAACACGTTAGATCTCATTGCACCTTACTGCTGATGCAAAGGAAGCCTGTGAGCCAGATCTGGAGCTCCTCCTGCATCAGCAAGAAGTAAGCTTCTGTGGCTGGAAGTCCCCTCAGTTGAGAGGCTCCCAGCTGTGGGGGCACCCCCATGCACCTCTGGGGCTGGAGGATCATGGTAGGTGTGATCCCTAGGCCCAGGGATTTCACACTGAGTATGGTGCATCTGTGCATCTGGGAGGCATCAACTAACAGGGCTCCCAGCTACAGTGGAGACCCTGCTGCATGTGCACATTTAAAGCTTGGCAGCAACTAGCTGTAAAGTTAGTATATATTTTCAGGGTCTAACTTTATAGCTGGTTGGAGCTTTTTATGGAATGATAGCACTTTGCATGTGTACCTGGTCATAAGGTAATTGTGCAATTAACCAGATATTTGTGCAATACCTGTAAAGTATAGAGGGGGCCTAAGTTACCCAGAAGAGTGCTCATACCAGGGGTTTGTGGCAGTTTATCCAAACTGCTTAAAATTCACATTTAAAGTTAAACCAATTCAACACTCATTGAAAAACAAATAGGTCATCTAAGCTATACTGGAATATACCATTCTTAACTTGCTGAGTTAAATGCATAGAGATTTTAAGTTAATGGCTTAAAAATAAACAATTTATGTTAAACTTTTGCAGTTTTCTCATGAAGACAAAGTCTGTCTGACAGGCAAGAAATGCAAAAAAAAAAACGGTAGTTTAGAAATGTTCCCAAGAGGCTGCTTTATTTCAGTATACTAAGGATCACAGTGCAGATACTTCATACATGCCAATTTGTGTCATTATTAAAGATATTTAGATGGACTTCAAAAAGCCTTCTCAGCAGTGCTTCACTAAAATTATTCTGTGTATACTTCAACACATTTTGTTATTTGTCAGATCTGGAAAGTAAAGATGCGGGTTACTTTGAACCCAGGTCTTTTCATGGAGCATTTGTGATTCAAAAGCTAATACTGCATTGTAGTATGTATGTATTTATTTAATTGTATCCACTTCAGCAAAGCTCTGACACTTCATCATATTTTATGCCCTGTCATCTTTTATCAGCCAAAAAGAAAAATTCCGGAGCTTTATGTTCATTGCTGAAAACATGCAAACCTTGTACTAAGAGATTTAAAGCTTAAATGGTATATTTGAAACAAAGAGGATTTACACTTTCATCTTTTATATTTGTACCAAGGAGTGTTTGTTCTTTTCAGTTAGGCTCTAACAACATTTTTCAGAACCTGAAAATTGTCCTCTTTTGCTAAAAAAGCACTAAAAATACAGTTAAAAATATATAGCAGAAGCAGCACTGAGGCAGTACTAAGTTACTTTGTGTCAGAGTCTTTAGTATCTGTCTAACCATAGTTTTACTGTACTTATCCTTTCAAGATTTTTGTGGGTCTGCACAGCAATGTGACTTTTGCATCATCTTTGTAGTTGCTACGGAAAGTTTTGCTATTAAGCAGCAGGACATAAAATTTGCTAGACTGACAAACTTGTCTTAAGCAGCTATAATTTATTTGCTGTCTGAAGAAAACAGCTACTTTATTTTCTAATTGTTAAAACACGCTGTTGTATGCTATCTCACTTAAAGTGAAATCACCTCATATTAACAGCTGACATGTTGAACATACTTCTGTTAAATGGAAGAGTAATTGTTTAGAAGTGTGGACTTTAAAGTATGGCCTTTAAAATTGTTTGGAAGTGTGGACATGGAATTAATAGTTACAATTATATAGTAGCAAATTTGAAGTGTTAATTGGTATTTTATATTCACCATTTCTGCCTGGAGACATGCATTTTGGCCAGTTGCAGTTATTGGATGTCCATGAATATTTCAAAGTGTGTTTTCTTACTGCTTGTGAAAAGTTGAGCTGAAATTTGATTTCACACTAAAATAAAATGCATATATATGTACTAATTGTCTGAGTTTTTAACAGACTGAGAACCCTGCATAAACAGGAGAAACTAGCTTTTTAGGAAGTATTGTTGGAAAGATCATCTTTATATACATTTTCAGGGAGAGGAAAGTAGTGTCCACATAGGCTGCTTGGAGATGTAAAAAAAACCACAAGCCGATAAATTCCACCCCCCCCCCCAAATGTTTCTTTAATTTAAACTTGGCAGATTCCTGTGCTAAGCCCTGCACATGTTCGGAAGAGGCAGTGCCTTAGTTGAAGCCTGCTCACCCAACATCTGTAAAGATCAGGCACCATGTAACCAGAGTTATATATTTCTTGTCTATCGTACTCAAAAAAACACCCTTTTGGATTACCTCTATGAATTCGTAAACATGCAGTTTTGACCAAAAAATGGTTTTAGTCATTTCACTTAAGGGGGGGGGGGGGGGGGGGGAGGGACAGCCTATTTATCTTCCTTCCAACCCATTTTAACAGAACTGCTGAACATTTTCAAATAAAATGTATCACTTTAATACAACTGCTTATGGCATACATTTCATTGAATGCTTAGGAAAATCAAAAGGAAGAAGCTGAGGAATAAAAGTGTCTGAGGAATAAAAGAATGGCACCACACTTGAAAAGAAATTGGAGCTTCCTGTACTATTTCAGAAAAATATGAAGATTACTATTGGTTCTCTAGAACTATAAAAATGATTGGACAATATTTTAAAATGCACAATACATTTACAATATATAAATACAAACTAGTCTTTTTAATGTGCTATGATTATTTTCAAATACAATCATGTATTACATCTTACATGAAGCTATTTTTTGGTTTTTTTAGATTTTTTTCCCCAGATAGCCAGGCAGATGATGTTTGCAAGCAGAGACTTTCAGTCAGTCAGACGCTTTTGGAAATGTTTTCAACAGTTATGAGAAAGGTATTCTCAATGTTTGATAAATCAGATGAGGCTGAGTGGCATGTAATTGCTTCTTTGCCAAATGAAGCAGTTTAGCTGTAATAACAGCCTCCAGGCTTTTTGTGTGCGTGTGTGTGTGTGTGTGTGATCTCCTTGTTCTTCTAAATTAAGAATGGAATTCATACACACACATCTAGCTTGGTCATAGAACCAAGAAAACAGAATAACTTAAAATAGTTTGACTGGTGGCAAATTATATATAATATTAAACAGGAAAATAGCTCTACAGCACATTATTAGTCTAGGTTTTTTTTCTGGGTTTAAATTTCTAAGCCTGTAGAATGGTGTAACACAGCTCAATATTTGTTCAGAAAATGTAGATCATATACTAATATTTTCTTTATTAGTTGTGATATCAAATACAAAATGCTGTTTCAAATTAGGTTTGAAGAGAATTTACTTTTAGCTGTAGATTGTAATAAGTATCTAATTCATTCAATAAATGAAAATGGAAAACAAATTCAATTCTTCCATTCTCTCTAACAACTGACAGCATTATTATTATCCCTATCATCCAGGCTTGCACTTTGAGGGTCCCTGACTCCTTTCTCACCTTCCCAACACATAGTCAGGCTTTGACAAATCCTTCACGTCAACTTATCCAAAGTCTTGCTGTTCATTTCATTATGATCTTTCTCATAGATTTCATAGATTTCTAGGGTCAGAAGGGATCATTGAGTCTGACCCCCTGCTCTAGGCACAAAAGAGTGCTGGGGTCAAGTGAACCCAGCAAGGTGCTTGTCTAATCTCTTTTTGAACATCTCCAAGGTAGGGGAAAGCCCCACCTCCCCTGGAAGCCCATTCCATATTTTGGCAGCCCTCACTGTAAAGAATTTTTTCCTGACATCCAATCTAAATCTACTCTCCTTTAGTTTGTGGCTGTTATTTCTAGTAACCCCGAGGGGCGCCTTGGTAAACAGAGTATCCCCTATTCCCTTCTGACCCCCCCTGATGAGTTTGTAGACAGCCAGAAGATCACCTCTCAGCTTTCTCTTGAAGAGGCTGAAGAGATTCAGGTGTCTGTCTTCATAGGATCTTACCTGCAGGCCCTCAACCATATGAGTGGCCTTCCTCTGAACCCTCTCAAGGTTATCCACATCCCTCTTGAAGTGCCGTGCCCAAAACTGGACACAGTACTCCAACTGCAGCCTGACCAGTGCCGCATAGAGGGGAAGTATTACCTCCCTAGATCTGCTCATGATGCACCTACTAATGCAAGAAAGAGTGCAGTTAGCCTTACTTGTTACCTCATCACACTGGTGACTCATGTTCATTTTTGTGTTGATTAAGACTCCAAAATCCCTTTCCACTGCCATGATACTCAGAATGGTACTTTCCAGTCTATAGGTGTATTGGAGATTCTTTCTCCCCAGATACAGCACCTTGCACTTATCCTTGTTAAATTGCATC